CATGTCACAATACATGCCAAACGCCACGTAGGACATAAAATTTCCATGTAGTACCATGGAGGATAGATGTATATATTTGTTCAATTTTATACAAATTTAAGTGTCATATCAAAATTAAAGATCATAGTTGTTAGCTAACGTTAAGTTAAAGATCATGTTATATATTATGACCTTGATTATTTGATGCAAAATTGACTAAAAAGAAAAAAAATTAAATTTAAAAAAGGGGTCAAAATCTATTATATGAGTTTTGTATTCCTTTTGATACTGAGAGCAATCAAATAATTAATTAAATTCAAATTCATAGTTTAAAAAATTTAATGGCTCATTGAGAGTAAGATTTTAAGTCGGATTCGTTAAATTAAAATTTCAAAATCCACCTCTACTAGTAATTTACCTATTGTATTTGAGGTTCTGAACTGAAATTGGTATATTAATGACAGTATTTTTCACCTGTTTAGACCTAATTGAAGGAGGGATTTTAATTAAAGGCCAAAAATTTAAACAAAATTCATATGTTTATTTTTTAGAAAAAATATTTTTTTAAAATGTAAATTATTACTTAATATTTTTTTTTTATTTTAAATGATTTGTTCGATCAACTCAACATTAAAAAAATTCATTTTTTGTAGATAATCTTTATGTGAATTGTTAATATAATTCAATAAGTAATAATTTATTTTTAAAAAAATAAAGATAAGAACTAGAACTATAGAATCTGATTCAAGAAGTTGATAACTTGATACACCCTATTTTAATATGTTTCTTGTAATGCTAGAAAATTTAAGAAGAAATAAAAAAGAAAATATGCAATTCATTTTATTCAATACTTCTAAACTATTAATTTATATTTTTGATAGATTATTACTCTAATTTATGAAAGATTTAAACAAAAAGGGTAGAAAAGGAGTCGAAACAAATGTTAGTGTTACCAAGAGAAGGTAAGAAGGCAAAACAATGTTTTCTTGATTTCTTTTATTTGAATGGGGTGAAGGAAGATAAAATAATACGAATTTTTAGGTCTTAAATTGGAATGCTTAGCTATAGTTTCACTAATTACAATTCATAGGTATATTTTGATTTACAAAGCATTTGTATTTGTTGTACTTTTGTGCAGGTTTTGGAGAAGAAAATATATAAACTAGCTTGTGTCGAAATGAGTACTAGGGAAGAAAGAGGCAAACGAGATCGAGGGGGAGGAGAGGGGAGAACGAGATTGAGAGAAAGAATTTGTATTTATTGTATCACGAATACAATTGATACATAACACAATACATTGTGATACAAAATACAAAAATAATTTTCTGAATACAACTGATATAAAGTATAAATCTCTCATATATATTTGATCAGATACAACTGATATATAATACATTTCACGGAGAGGATGAATGTATATTGCGTCTGAATCACAAATATAAGTACAGTTAAGACAAAATACAAAAATATTTTTTCAAATCAATTAATATATAATACATTTGAATAAATTTCTTCTTATTTACATGAGAGAAAAAGCTGGGAGCAGTAAAAGGAGAGCGGCAAAAGAGAGAGGGAAAGAAAATAAAAAATTGCTATAAGTCCCTATAAATTGTAAATATATTAAACTATAGCGATTCATCATAAACACATAAATATTTGTCTTGTTACTTAATTTTTCAAAAATAAAATTTAACACATAATTTATTCTTGACTAAAATTTGAGTACTCAATTTTTGAAGGTGCAATACTTATGCATAATATAAGTAAAATAATAATATTTTTTGATCTTTTACTTAAGCAGTAATTAATCGACGTGAATGCTATTATATATGCTTTGTCTAGAATTAGTTGGATATGTATTTATAATATTTTTTTGAGAGACAAGAATATCTGAAAGTATAAAATAGCAAATCAAATAGGAAAGTAAAAAAAAAAATTGGTTTTTATTGAGAATCCAGCAGACAATAAACTGAATAATAATGGACAAATTGTAGTGGCTCTAACATTATAATAACCAACGCACCATATTATACTACTTTTTCCAATTAGTCAAGAGATCATCTTATCAAATATCAATTCCCACTACTTCAAATAAACCATCCTTTTTTTTAACTCTTATATTTAATAGGGACAAAAACGTTTTCTATGAAAAATAATATATATAAAAAAAATATTCTTTTTGAAAAATAAATAAACTTTTAGACTTATTTTTATGTGATTGATCATAAGTAAATAAGAAAATATTATCCTAATATCTTATATTTATAATGTTATTGAGTAAAACAATAGAAAAACGAGATGAAATGGAAAGTGGGGTTCGAGGGTGGAGGTGTGGTGCGATGGTCAAGGGTGGGTTGTGAGAATCGGAGGGTGAGAGAAGGAAGACAACAAATTTCAAATGTTATTTATGCAATTTATCTTTTCCATTTCTAGAAGTCATTTTCCTTTATGGAACTTATTTTCTTAAAAAAAATATATTTCAAATATTTTGATCAATCGAACATAAAATTTGATTACATGTTTAAAGAACTTAAAATAAGAGTAATAGTTCTGTTGAATAAGTTACCTCTATTGAGGCATAACTCATCATAACTTATGCCTCTATTGATATATCTAAGTTTGGACATAGGAATTAAGCATAATTAGTGAGTTATGAATTTTTTAAGACTTGATGTGCAGAAACTAAACTTATGCATTACAATAATATAACTTTTTGTGTTCTTTAATGCCAGAAGTATTTTCGATCAATTTTTGATCCATTAAAATACTAAAAGACGAAAATTAAAAATCATCATTTTGAAAGGCAAAAATTAATAATCACCCCAAAATAAGAATATTCATGCATATTACCCATATATATATTTCTCTAACAATATTCAAATAACACAACTTCAAAAAATAAATTTTTTACACCAGACAACAACCAAATCCCAACAAATTACAATCCATAATAACAAATAACCTAAAACTTTATGGTTTACAAATTTTAGTTGGCATAGTTATCTGTGTATAATAAGTAAGTATACATTATCTACAAATCATATCTTCATGTATTATGTCTTGATTATATAATATATTTCAAACAGCGCTACAATAGAAGATATTTTTTTAGTTAAAAATACTTCAAACTTAAACCTATATATTATCTATCGACAAATTAAAATTAAAGTTTCTTTGTCAAGTACGCACGCGTTACGATCTATTTTCTTCTAATTTCCTATAAAATATAATGCACTTTTGTTGATTTAGACAGGTTATTGGTAGCATTGTACATTGGTGTGTTTCCTACGTCTATTGCAACTCTTAATGATGAATTAACAAGAAATACATATTTATGTACTCTAATATTGTTTAATTTAACAGTTGTACAAATTATAATTTGATTGAGAAGCCCCTAACTTTTATTTTTACAGCACGATGATTATTTATGAAAAATTATGAACATGTGCCACTCATAGCCTTATTGTCATTACTTTTTCCTAATATTAAAAACATAGGTTAATTAGCCCTAACTTACGTTACGTTGTTGATAAAAACTATAGTCTATAGGATATCTTATAAATATACTCAATCAAGAAAATAAAGAGATAAAATATAAATTGGCCTATGATAGAAGAACACTATTGCATTTGCATATAAGTAGTTATACACAAAAAGTACGAATTTCAAAGGTCAAAGTCATTGTTTAATCTCTTTAGCCAAATTCATTAAACAAAACAAATACTCTCTCCTTCTTTTATTCTTTTGTTGTTGTTACATATATCTTTTAATTATTAGTTAAAGTGTGTATAAAGTACATAAATTCCAACAATTTTGCGCTAATGACATTTTATTTAAAAGAGTTTTCTAAATTATAATAATTATGTAATTTAAAGAATTTGTGAATACATAATATCATATGCATAACTATAAATCAGATACATACTGATCTAAATTTGAAATAATTGGGGTTATTTAAATATTTATATCAAATATATTGTATACAAATAAAATTATAGTGTATCTTCTCGAGATGAAGTGATGTATGACGTATCCAAATACTAAGAGAGAAGAAAAAAGTGAAATTTTTATAATCAATTCAAAATGATAAGAATTTTTAGAAATAGTATTATTTTAAATCATATAATTACATAATTTTTCAGAGAATGAATAAACAAAATAATTAAAAATATTTTTATTATAAGAAATAAATTAAAAAGGTGAAAAGCATAATAATAATAATAACCCATAGATTTTAAATGTGTGAACAAAACTAGTCAAAGTTTAGGATGGTGCGTGAGCCACTTAAAGTCACTGTAGCTCACAAAAGCTAAAAGACGCGTATGTACAGAGCCAAGCCAACTCGTGGTTAGAGTAACATTTGAATCTCATTTGGTGAAAAATTATAATGTTACTTATATACATTTAAATTTTTAGATATATAATAAATATGAAATTTCTCGTTAATTAGTTTTTATATCTATTTCTTCAAAATTTGAATAAATTCATAATGAAAGTTTGACTTTACCACAACATAAATATTTGAGATGTAAATATTAACTACTCTTTTGATTCTCTCCTATCTTTTAGTTTTGACGGAACACAAAATTTAAAAATCTACTAAAAAATAATTTTTGTAATCTTAAACTATATATAAATTTAGTGATTTAAACTATATATCTATATGTAATTTTGACTATTACATTATAATCTTAAACATATTTTTTATTTCTACGAAGGAGTATCATTAAGAGTATCATTAAGAGTAAAACAGAAAAACGTTCGAAATACATTATTTTGGAACCAAACATTAAAATTATATTCTTTTTAACAATTTAACGAATTTAGTAATATAATTTAATATAATATCAGACAACATTCAGGATTTAAAGAAAAAGTAAAAAATAATCATTTATCTGTCTATTTAAATAGATAAAACTTTTAAATAAGTTGGTCGCACAATTTCAAATACTAGAAAGTACTAGAAATAGGAAAACATGGAAATTTCTTAGTGTTGTTTTGGCCAAACCAAGCGTGCACCACATTTTACTAGTGTCCACATCAGAGCTGCATTATAACTAGTCCTATAAATAGACAATATTATTAACTTCTAAGTTATATGATTAATTCCCTCTCCAACTATTTATTCCATTCTCCACAATATTTGGAAGAAATATAATTAAGTTCAAATTAAAGTCATCATCATGAGTTCTAACGTTGTACCTGTTCCAAATGAAGAAAATATTATTATTATTATTTCTCAACATGACCAAAACAAATCACACAAAACCAAACTTTCCTCTATTGTCTCATTTCTCAAGGAAAGTATAGCCAAATTGGATATCAAGAAAGTTATACATAGTGTTAAAGTTGGTATTGCTTTAGTATTGGTATCACTTTTGTACTTGCTTGATCCTTTATTCCAAAAAGTAGGACAAAATGCTATCTGGGCTATTATGACCGTAGTCGTTGTTTTTGAATTTTTCGCAGGTTTGTTTAATCAATTATTTATATTGTCTGTATACATAAGTTAAATTTATCTGATAGTGTAGCACGTTGTTCAAGCAGGTGCTACACTAAGCAAAGGGATAAATCGAGCTATTGGTACCGTATTGGGTGGAGGATTGGGATGTTTGGCTGCAATATTAGCTGATGAAAGTGGTGAAATTGGTGGTGCCTTAGTTGTTGGCATCTCTGTCATTATCATTGGTAATTAACAATATTTTCATGACCTCAACACTATTTTAGCTAGAATATTAGTCCACTTTATTTTTCAGATTACTAATTTCACTTGTTTTAAATAGTTATATGTGATTATCGACCTAAACAATAATTACATTATAACTGACCCTAATAAGTAAGATTAATAACCTGAAAAATAAAGCAGATAACCAAGAACAAAGCTAGTAAGGGACCAAGGGTTCATTCAAACCCCTAAAGCGGAATTGATCAGTGGTGCTTGGTCAAAGCTTTTACGTGAGACTTTCGCCTCATATGGATAGAAAATTACACTGCTTATATATATGATTAAAATTTTTATTTTATATATATAGAGTAGATGTTAAACCCCCTTCCAACTTCTTTGTGTGTCTACTTTTTTCTATTTTGAAACCTCCATAATCAATGAAAATTCTGACTTTGCCACTATTGAGATAACTTGCAATAATAATAAAGGAATATAACAATGGTAATACAGTCAATGAGTCAAATCAATTACCTCTTTTATAATGACATCGTTTGTTTGAATATTTTTTTTTACTGCTATATCGAAATGTTATTATTCGGAACATATATCATATTACATAACATAACACACAAAGTCATTTCAAGAAAAAAAATTTACGATTATAATTAAATGTTGTTATAGAGAATGACTGTTACGTTGTGTGATGAAATTAACAGGTGTTGGTGCAACATACTCAAGGTTGATACCAAGTGTGAAGAAGAAATATGATTATGGAGTTATGATATTTATTTTAACATTCAGTTTAGTAGTAGTATCTGGTGTTAGAGCTGACAAAATAATGAAATTGGCTGGAGAGAGACTCTCCAACATTGGGATGGGCTTTGCTGTTTGCATATTTACAAGTTTCATATACCCCATTTGGGCTGGTGATGAACTTCATTTCTCCACTGCAAATAAGTTTGATAAACTTGCCACTTCTATCCAAGGTAATAATAATAATTAAAAAAACATAGGACGATTCATACCCAACTTTAATAGGCGTTTGATTGTAGATTTTAAATATCTTTTCACTCTTTTTTTGGAATATATAGAGTTGGAGTTCAATATATTTGAAACAATGTTCATGCTTCTAATCAGTTAGAAAACAAGTTATAAGTTATTTTCCAAATTTGAAATATAACTTAAAAAAATAAATTGAATTTTGACTTTTTACCATAAAATACTAACTTTCAAATAAATATTTTTTTTTAAAAAGTGAATAATTTTTATCGTAAAAAAAGGGGTCCTTTAGTCTAATCAAATTCCTTAAGATAAAAGAAAAAGAAAAAGAAGAAGAAATACAAATATACAATGCTATAATTAACTCATGACAAGATCTTCATAATTAAAACTATAATTTTGATAAAGTTTCCTAATAGCATCTTAATTATTGCTAGTGATTTTAAAACGATATAATTTTTTTTATACTATCAGTATGGTTATTTCTCAACTTATTATAAACAGTTACATCCAGTTACTTTTAATTTGGTCAATAATTTTTTTTTAAGAATTGTTAAACTAGTTTATTTAATGTGTTTATTCTTATTAATAAAAAAATTTCAGAGTGCTTGTGATTTTAAAATATAAATTTTTTTATATTATCAGTATAGTTATCTCTCGATTGCTAATTCAACTTATTATAAACATTTACACCCAGTTATTTTTAATTAGGTCAATAATTTTATTTTTTAAAAGAATTGTTAAACTCGTTTATTTAATGTGTTTATTCCTATTAATAATAATTTCAGGGTGCTAGTGATTTTAAAATGATATAAATAATTTTTATAGTATCAGTATAGTTTTTTCTCGATTGCTAATTAAACTTATTATTATAAACAGTTACATGCAGTTATTTTTAATTAGATCAATAATTTTTTTATTAGAATAGTTAAACTCGTTTATTTAATGTGTTTATTGTCATTAATAATTTCAGGGTGCTTAGAGGAATATTTTGTGATAGCCAATGATAAGGAAAAAAAGGCAACAATTGACATCAGTGGATGCAAATCAGTGATGCACTCCAAGTCTAGTGATGAGTCATTGGTATAATAATAATAATTAACAATTACTCATTCTATTATAACAAATATAAAATCTTACTAGGAAATCCATTATCTTGGATATATTTTATTTTTGCTATAATAATAATTAAAAAATGTGAAATATTTCAGGCAAATTTTGCAAAGTGGGAACCTTGGCATGGAAAATTTGGATTTTTTTATCCATGGGAGAAGTATTTGAATATTGGAGAAGTTTTAAGGGAACTTGCAGCAATGATCATCTCATTTAAAGGGTGTATTCAATCAGTCAGACAGGTAAAAAAAATAAAATACTCCAAGATATAATTTATTTTTCACTTTCAAAATAGTATAAAAAAATGTTAAAGAAAATCAACCATGATTGAAAATTTAATTTAATTGATCATTAAAGGAGTAAAGTGAAGATAATTATATACACCCTCTAGTCTCAAATAGTATACTAGTTTTGACAAATTAAATTTAGTTCGAAATATTTAAAATTAAGAAAAATAAAAAATCATTTTTTGGAGTATTAATTTATTCTAAATATTGAAAGTAATGAAGGATTAATTAAGTGAGACATTAAATGGAGAAAAAAAATCATTGTTCAACACTTTGACAATATGAAAAAATGTGCAATATGACCATATGTTTCTTGTTTCAAGTTAATCACATTATTTCTTTCGTGTATCGACTCATTTTTTGTTTATTTGTCGTTAAATTGCTCATAACTAACATAATTTTTTGTTGATACTAATCAGTCGTCCCCAACGGAAAGAGACAGCATAAGAGAGCCATGTGAGAAAATAGGGTTGTCACTAGCAACAATTTTGATGGAACTTGGAGATAGCATAAGACACATGAAAAGATGTCGTGCCAAAAATTTGATAACACAATGCATGAGACAAGAGCTAAGCCTCCTTGTAAACTTACACAATAATAATAATAATAATAATAATAATAATAATTCAACTGATAATGAAAGTAATCTTGGATTGGCCAGCTTTATTTTTCAAATTTTAGAGATGGTGGACAAGGTTGAATTGTTGGCTACAAAGGTGGAAGAACTTGGTGAAATTGCACACTTTCACAACAAGAAACTTGATGTGTGACTATAATGTCTTTGGTTAAAGATGTTATATAAGCATATACATAATCCGTGTAAATAATTTTTACACTATCAGATCAGTCAAAAGATATATATTTCAAGGTGAGCCGTGAGCCTCCTTAAAATGTAAACTTTGTAACATAGATTATTATCTGCTGCCAGAGGCAGATTCATGATATATACACTATGTATTGAACTTTTAAGGTTCTAGATTATTAACTCATTGTATATTTTATAAATTATGAGCTAACATATGTACTATTTAGTGTACAGTGCATATATAACGAATGAGTTTTACACATATTTTATATTCTGCATCGTAAGTATTTAATTTAGATAAATTTGATATTATAATAATAGGTCCACTCTTATCTGATTCAATAAGTAAATATAATTTAATCTAAGGAGCTGGGGAGCCGTATATATATTCACACCCTTTTCAGGGCATATTTTTGTATTTACAAGCAACTTCTAGGAATTACATAATGTTCGTGGTTTTGCGTTTGAATTAACCCATAGATTTGGCGCCTTGGAGAATCAAATTTTCAGAAAAAATTTATGAGGACCATCATAATGATTTCGGCTACTGCGCATTACATATACTCACACAATATTTAAGACATATTTTCGGATTTACGAGCCAACTTTTAGAAATTAAGTATCTTTTTTGGTTTCTTGTGTGTATTAGACCATGGGTCTAGAGCTTTAGCACCCAATTTTTTTTTCAGAAACAACTCTATGCGGATATTGTAGTAAGTTGGGGAAACATTACGTATACTCACACCATTTTAAGACACACTTAAGCATTTACGAGCCATCTTTTATGAATTACGCAATTTTCTTGTTTTTCGTGTGTAATAGCCCATGGATATGACGTCTTAGAGCGCCATAATTTTTTTTCTTGAAAAAAACTTTATGTGGATCTTCATAATGAGTTTGGGGAGCATTACATATACTCACACTATTTTTAAGACATGTTTTTGCATTTACAAGTCACCTTTTAGGAAATAAGTGGTTTCTTAGTTTTTTTTGGGTATTAGACCGTGAATCTAGCGTCTTTGATCAACCAATTTTTTTTACATGGACCTCCGTAGGGGGAGCATTACATATACTCACATCATTTTTAATGTATATTTTCGTACTTACGAACCAACTTTTAAGAATAACGCAATTTTCTTGTTTTTTCATGCGGATTAGCGCCTCCGCTTACCCTAATTTTTTTCATAAAAAACTTTATGAGGACCTCCTTAGTGAGTTAGGGGAGCATTAAATATACTCACATAATTCTTTAAGACATGTTTTTGCATTTGCGAGCAAACTTTTAGGAATTACACAACTTTCTTGATTTTCTTGTGCTTTACTTCATGGATCTCGCGCCTTGGAACTCCCAAAAATATTCTCAAAATTTTTTATGAGGGCCTCTATAATATGTTAGGGGAAAATTAAGCATACTCACACTATTTTAAATCACATTTTTGTATTTACGAGCTAACTTTTTAGGAATTACACGATTTTTTTTTGTTTTTCATGTTTATTAGCCCATAGATCTGGTGCCTTGAAGCATCTAATATTTTTTGTAAGAAAAAACTATGTGAGAACCTCTGTAATGAATTGGAGGAGCATTACCTATACCCACACCTTTTTAAGACACGTTTTTGCATTTACAAACAAACTCCTAGAAATTACACGACTTTCTTGTTCTTTCATATGTACTAGCCCATAGATTTGGCGTATTGGAGTATCCAAAAGTTTTCTCTGAAATAACTTTATGAGAATCTCTGTAACGATGTAGGGGAGCATTATGTATAATCACACCATATTAAGACATATATTTATATTTACGAGCCAACTTTAGAAATTACATAACTTTCTTATTTTTCGTGTGTAATAGCCAATATATTTAGCACCCTGGAACACCCAAAAATCTTATCTTAAATAACTTTACGAGAATCTGCATAATGAGTTGTGAGAACATTACATATACTTGCGCCATTTGAAGACATATTTTCTCCTTTACGATTCAACTTTTACGAATTATGCGACTTTTTTTGATTTTTATGTGTATTAGCCCATGTATCTGGTGTCTTAGAGCACAAAAAAAAAATCGCAAAAACTTATGAGAACCTTTATAATGAGCTATCGAGAACATTACTTATACTCACGCCATTTGTAAAGGTATATTATCACATTTATGAGCCAACTTTTTAGGAATTACGCGACTTTCTTAAATTTTCGTGTGTATTAACTCATGGATCTGTGCCTTGGAGAATCCAAAACATTTTTGAATTTTTTTTTGGGAGGACCTCCGTAATGAGTTGGTGAAGCGTTACGTATACTTACACCATATTTCAAGGTATATTTTCACATTTAAGAGTCAACTTTTAAAAATTACGTGAATTTCTTAATTTTTTGTGAGTATTAGCCCAAATATCTGGTGCCTACGTACACTCACATCATTTAAGACATACTTTTCCATTTACGAGCAACCTTTTAGAATTACGTGACATATGTATTAGCCTATGAATCAAGCGCATTGGAGCACCCATAATTTTTTCTGTAAAAACTTTATGAGTATCTCTGTAATGAGTTGTGGGTGTCTTACATATACTCTCACCATTTTAAGACATATTTTCACATTTACGAGCCGACTTTTAGGAATTACTCGACCTTCTTGATTTTTCATGTGTATTATCCCATGGATCTGACGCTTTGAAACACTCAAAAGATTTTCATGAAAATTTTTTATGAGGACCTCTGTACTAAGTTAGGGGAGAATTATGTATACTCACACCACTTTTAAGACATATTTACGCTTTTACAAGCCAAGTTTTAGGAATGATGTGACTTTCTTGATTTTTTGTATATATTAGTCCATGGATCTGGCGCCTTAGAGCACCCAAAATTGTTTTCTTAAAAACTTTATGAGGACATACATAATGAGTTGGGAGAGCATTACGTATACTTTCACCATGTTAAGACATATTTTCACATTTAAGAGCCAATTTTTAGAAATTACATGACTATCGTGGTTTTTTTTGTGTATTAGCTCATGGATTTGGCGCCTTGAAGCACGCAACATTTTTTTAAATAAACTTTATGAGGACCTTCGTAGTGAGTTGGGGGATAATAGAGTCTACTCACACCATTTTTAAGACATATTTTCATATTTACAAGTCATTTTTAGCAATTACGATTTTTTTTGTTTTTCTTGTGCACTAACCCATGAATGTGGTGCCTTAGAGCACCCAATTATTTTTTCAGGAAAGACTTTATGAGGACCTCCATAATGAGTTGGGAGCATTATATTTAATCACACAATTTTCTCAAGTCATATTTTCACATTTACGACCATCTTTAAGAAATTAAGCGACTTTCATGATTTTCGTGTATATTAGCCTATCTGGCTTCTTAGAACATCCGCAAAAATTTTTTGAAAAAAACTTACGAGGACCCTTGTAATGAGTTAAGGGAGCATTACGTTTACTCACACCATTTTAAGACATTTATATTTACGATCCACCTTTTAGAATTGTGTGTCTTTATTGTTTTTCGTGCATTAGCCCATAAATCTAGCGCTTTAGAGCACACAATCTTTTTTAAAAAAAACTTTATGTGTACTTCCATAATGTGTTGCGGGAGCATTACGTATATACTCACACCATTTTAAAGACATATAATTGCATTTACGAGCCAATTTTTAGAATTACGCGATTTACTTAGTTTTTATATGTATTAGCCAATGGATTGACACCTTGGAGCATCCAAGTTTTTTTTGAAATTCATGAAGACCTATGTAATGAGTTGGGGGAGTATTACATATATTCGCACCATTTTAAGAAATATTTTTGCATTTAAGGCTATCTTTTAAAAATTATAGGACATTCTTGATTCGTGCGTATGCCCATGAATCTGGCGCCTTGGAGCACCCATAATTTTTTTTCTTGAAAAAATTATATGAGGATCTCAGTTATGAGTAGGGGGAGCATTACGTATACTCACATAGTTTTAAGACATATTTTTACATTTACGAGGGAATTTTTAGAAATTACATGACTTTCTTGATTTTTGATTAGTGTCTACTAGCCAATGGATCTGACACCTTAGAGCACCCAGAAATTTTTCTTGAAAATTTTTTATGAGGATCTTCGTAATAAGTGAGTGATTATTACATGTATTCATACTATTATAAGAAATATTTTTACATTTATAAGCCACATTTTAGGAATAATATATGCGACTTTATTAGTTTTTTGTATGTAAGCCCATGGATCTAGTGTCTTGGAGCACCCAAAACATTTTTTTGAAAAAACTTTATGAGGACTTCCGTAATGAGCCGGTGAAGCATTGCGTATAGTCCTACCTTTTGAAGGCATATTTTCGCATATACGATCAAACTTTTATGAATCACGTGACTTTCTTGGATTTTCATGTATATTAGTCTAGGGATCTGGTGCCTGGAAGCACCCAAAATTATTTATGAAAAAACTTTATGAAGACCTTTGTAGTGAGTTGGGAAAACATTACATGTAAGCCCACCATTTTAAGGCATATTTTAGCATTTGCCAACTTTTAGTAAATACATATTTTTCTTGTTTTTTTTGTGTATATTAGCCCATGGTTCTGACGCTTTGGATCACCCATCTTTTTTCTAAAAAACTGTATGACGACCTCTGTAATGAGTTGAGGAATCATTAAGTATAGTCCTACCATTTTAAGACATATTTTTTTGTATTTTTTAGCCAACTTTTAAAAATATAATTACGCGACTTTCTTAGCTTTTTCTGTGTATTATTAGCCCATGGATCTTGCATCTTGGAGCACCCAAATTTTTTTCTTAAAAAACTTTATGAGGATCTTTGTAATGAGTATGAGAAGCATTACATATAGTCCCACTTTTGTTAAGTCATATTGCTGCATATATGAGTTGATTTTAAGAAATTATGCGACTCTCGTGAATTTTTGTGTGTATTAGCTCATCTCTTGCGCTAATTTTTTCATGTATGTTTTAGCCACAATGTTTTTTATGTACATTGTTATGACCTATTTTATGGCTTTCGTTGGTTTGGAGGGACACACGTCAGCATTTTCAAGTTTAAACTTGCACCAAAATGGGATATACAATTTTTTTTCTATTTTTCATGTGTTATAGCCCACATATTTGGCGCCTTGGAGCACTAAAAAAAAAGAATTTCTATTTTTATGATTACCACCTTAGTTAGTTGGGGAACATTACATATAGTCCCCATTATAAGACATATTTTTATATTTATGAGCCAACTTTCAAGAATCACAGACTTTTCTAGGTTTTTCATGTAATACCCATGAATTTGGTGTCTTGGAGCATCAATTTTTTTTAGAGAACCTCAATAATTACTTCAAGAAGCATATGTATAGTTCCACTATTTTTAAGGTA